ACAAGGGAGTTAAAAGGAATTTCACCAATATTTTATTGATTGGAGAATTGAGAATAAGGTTGCAAATGTTACTGTAGACAATGTTTCATATAATTATGTGTGCATTGGAAGACTTGAGCAAGATTTTTCTCTTCGAAAAAGATTAAGTATTGATGAAATAAAATTTCATGTTCGATGTTGTGTACATATAGTTATCCTTTGGTGCAAAATAGTTGTGATCAACTTGGTGATATGATTAATGTTGTTAGAGATGAAATAAAGTATTTGAATAATTCTGAATATAGACTTATTCAATTTGCCAAGATTAAAAAGCAATTAAAGTTGTCATCTAAGAAAGTGATTTTGGATTCTTCAACAACATGAAATAAAGCATATGTGATGTTGGCTTCAACTTTAGAATTCAAAAATGTTTTTCCTAAATATGCAGAAATTGATCTTGAATTTCGATATAATCTTTCTAAAATAGAGTGGAGAAAAGTGGAAGAAGTATGTGAATTTTTGGCATATTTCATGAAATCACTATGTATAATTTCTGTATCTGAATATCAATCGGCCAACATTTTATCACATTAAGTCTATGGCAATTGGTATGTCTACCAAGATCGATAAGTATTAGGCCGAGAACAATATTCTGTTATCATTTGGAGCAATTTTGGATCCAAGGTATAAAATAATTCTTATTAATCATGTTTATCCAGTGATTTATGGTGAGAATGCAACAGAAGATTATGTGACAGAAATAAATAAAAAATTCTTTATGAGTTGTATCATAAATATGTGAATAATCACCTGTCTTCTCAATATGATCAACAACAAAGATTGGCTAGAAAAATAAAATAAAATGAAGTTACTAGTTCTTTTGGTAAATAAATCTAGTTTCTTAGGTATTTTAACTGGTAATGAAAAATTTGATATGCTTTTAAGTGAAATTGAAAAAACTTCGAAAAATCAGATTTGGATGTTTATTTAGAAGAAGGTAGATATGCTTGTAATGCAAATGCAAATTTGGATGTTCTTGGTTGGTGGAAAGGAAAAAGATTAGATTTTATCAAGGATGATTGCAGATATATTTTTTGTCCCTGTAACAACAGTGGTTTCGTAATCTGCATTCAGTGTTGGAGGTAGAGTAATTGATGATCGACGTGCTTCTATGTCTGTTGAAATAGTACAAATATTTTTGTGTGGAAATTATTGGATTCGTAGCCGGACTCAAAAATAAATCTCATTTAAGTAATTTTAATTATATTATTTATTTATTTATTTTTCATATTTGATCATCGTATATATTTGTATTAAATTTCTCATATTATTTTATAGGAACGCAATGAGACTGAATCAAGTGTATTTGAAGAAGTTGAACTTCCTAAAAAGTTTACAGACTCTCAATCTACGTTAGATTTATTTTTTTGGATTTTAAAGTAAACTTTTATAGTTATTTTATTTACAACTAAAATATAATGGATATCAATGGATTATTTTGAATTTTAAAAAGTTTATGAATTTATGTGGATTTAGAAAATCAACAGAGTCTACACCGAGTTTGATGGATTTTAATAATTAATTTAGATAATTTTTTACAAATTTGATTGAATTTTTTATAAATTTATATGGATTTCGTAGGATTGAAGAATAAATTTTTATTGATATATATAATAATAAAAATTAATATCAAACACAAGTTTTATAAATATAATATATTTATAATTAAAGTTATCATATATTATTATATTTTTATAAAATAAAATTAATTAGTAAATAATATGTAATTATTAATAATGTAAAAACATTATAACATATAACACTATATTGTATGTCGTATATTAATATTTATTTAATTTTATAATTTTTAGTATTAGATTATTATTCAATATATAAAATTATTTTTATATACTTTTATTATTTATAAAAAAATTTCACATAAAAAATAAATATATATATAAATAAAATAAAAACATAGTTTACTATTTTTAAAAATAATATTAAAATAAAGAAGTAAATAAATATAAACTAATTTTTCAACGAAAAAATATATATATATCTATTATAATAGTACCGATATGATAATATAGTGTATTCGATAATTGAAAATGGAGAACGATACTGTAATAACAATATATTGTATTCGATAATTGAAAGAAAAGACAAAAGTAATATATATTTATTATGATAATAATATTTTTTAATATTATATTTATAATATAAAAATATATTTTCAAAAAAAATAATAATAATTCGTTAATATATTTTATTTTTATATTATTATTTTTATTAAAAATTATAATAATATTAATAAATATTATCATATTATTTATCACGTATACAACAACAATATTATTATTATTATTAAGAATCCATAACAATTTCTAAGTATGAGAGATTTTATACTATACAAAATTTTTATTATTTTCCATCAAAATTCAATAAAATCCATGGACTTTAACCGCCTAAATTGTTGAATACAACAATATTTTAAAAGGTTTTAAAAAATTTGAATTAAATATCTCTACATTTTAAAAGATTTTTAAAAGTCTGATTAAATACATCCAAATTTTAAAAATGCAACCAAATCCTGAGACTGAATACACCTTGAGAAATTTAGTAACTTTATTGATTCATATTAAATAATTGTATGCATTATTGAATGAAAATTTTAACATATATATATATATATATTTTGTTTCTTCATTTTTATTACAGATAAAAGTGCTCAAGAAATTTACAAAAAAACATATGCTCTAAGTCAAGATTGCCACTAGCTTTTTTTATTTTATTTTTTTAAATATGAGATTATTGGTATTTAACAGTTTAATGTTTACTCTTGAATCACTAATTGATTATTTTTATTGTAGTTATTATTATTATTATTATTATTATTATTATTATTATTATTATTATGTATAAAAACTTGTATTATTAGTGAGATATGAATATTTTATTAAAATAAGTATATATTAAAATTTATTTATAATTTTAGTCAAGCTCGAGCTCAAGATCGAGCCTTGTGAGCCAAGCTTAAGCTCGAGCTTTTTTTTTTTTTCATATTATATTAAAATTTTATTTTATATTTCAATACAATTTCAACGTAAATATATATAATTGTATTGAAATATAAAATTAATTTTTAATACTACTATGATATACAAAAATGAAAAGTAGTAGTGTAATTGAATATTTTTTAAAAGAATTTTTTTAGTAAACACTAGAATTTTAGACAAAATCTTAATAAATAACACACTCAGATAAATTTTTATATCTAAACTAAAATTGATACTCTCTCCGTCCAGTTAGAAAGTATACATATTTCTATTTTGGAACGTCCAATTACAAAGTAAACATTTCATTAAATACCTCACCTTTTTTTATAAATACCATTACTTTACATCATATCATTACTTTTATACCAAAAAGTAAGGGCAAAAATGTCATTACATTACTTTTAACTATCCACTATAATTAAAATACTATTATTTCTTAAACACTGCGACAAAAGTAAATGTTTACTTTGTGTGTAGACGGAGGGAGTATATTTTAATTATATTATGATTACTATTTGATTTTTTCCATTTTAACCATATCAACTATTTTAAATTCAAAATATTTTTTTTAAAAAATATAACAAAAAATAAAATTTTAGATCAAAACAGAAAGATACACAGTCGTGTAGAATTATATATGACCGTGTATAATTGTACACTGAAATATATATGATCGTGTATAATTGCACATGGCCGTATAGTTTTCAGGTCAGTTGCCACGTCAACCCCGTTACATCCATTTTCGTTAGTTAAAAAACAGTGAGACCAAAATTAATTAAAATTATTTATAATGAGACTAAAATTGATGAACTTTTTTATATTGGAAGCAAAATTGATATATTGAGACCAAAACTGATTTTTTCCTTAAAAAAATACTCTCTCCGTCCCCTTGTAAAGTTTATCTTTACTTTTTGCGTGTTGATATTTGAACATTAATTATTATATCAAAATGCAGTACAAAGTAATGAAAACGACAAAAAATACTTCTATTAGTGTCATATAATACTGATAGAATAATATTTATATAAAAGATTATACACATATAAAGATATTTTTAATATTAAGTATAATTCGCAAAAATTAAATATAAACTTATTAAGTGGACAGAGAAAATACTATTTTATTATAAAGTCGAATTTTCAACTACAATTTTCATCATGCAAACATAAATATGCTTAACTTTTTCATATTATATTTACATGATCAGCTAATTTAAAATAAGCATAAAATTTTCGTATTGTATATATTTTTATAATTAACAGTACAAGAGATTCTCTAAAATATTTACTGAAAAGAAGGGAATATCTATTATCATTATTATTATGACTTTTGTGTATTTTTTCACGTTTATTATAATACTTTCTCCGTCCCACATAATTTGTCATTATTTTCTATTTTCGTCAGTTCCACATAACTTATCATTTTTATTTTTAGAAATATAATTATGCACTTTAATCGCATTTTAAATTTTAAATTTTAAATTTTATAATTTTTTTAATTTTAATTAAACTATTTACTTATTTTAATCTTAATCTATAATTATTTTTACTAAATAATAATTATTTTTACTAATACACTTCTTAATTACTTATTAATTATACTTTACCTAAATTTCCGTGTCTACAGTAATACACCCATATTGCATGGGACGGAAGAAGTATTAAATAATTAAAGAAAAGTCCGAAATTAATGAAGTAGTCGTTTGAAGTGCTTTATTAGCCCTAAAACATAAACTAATTTTAATTTAATTTAATGAACTAATTATATACAGAATCTTAATAATAACAGATTAATTAATATAGAAAGAATCATCATCAGTGATCAAGCAAGCACCAGTAAATAACGGTGGTCCTCGCAGCACACGATTCCTACCCAACTACTTTATTTATTATTTTTATTAATAATAATAATAATGTACTAATAAAAAGGAAAGTAATCAAAAAAGGAGAGAGAGAAAATGCAGTGCAGTCAGCCATGGATCATTGTTGTCATGCTTTGCTTTTTCCCTTTGCTGCTATAACCATTACGGCTGCTACTTTTCTTCCCTCATTATTGCACCCTCTGGCCTGTGCCCCTTCCTCTCCCTAACTAACTCTCTCTCTCTCTCTCCCCTTCAATTCATCATCGTAGCAATCGCCAATCGCCTGTCTCTGCATTCTTCAATACGCTTGCTGCTCTGTTTCTGGCAAATCTTCAGTCTGACTTTCAAACTGCTTCAGGTTTGACTTGCTTCTTTGTAATCTCAATTAATGATTTCAATGGCGACGGTTTTTATCATTTTTTGTAATGTTGTATGCGTGTGTATCTGGTGGTGCGGATCAGGGTTTTTGTTTTTTGTTTTTGCGATCGGTTTGTGAGAGGTAGGATGATTTGGAACGTGTGGTTTTTTAGATCATCATTGCTGCCGGGTTCTTTAATCTCGGTTAGTGGAAACTTTTTGAAGATGTGTCCATAGTTGGATCATCATGTGACGTTTCTAGTCGTTAAATTGGTGCTTGATGTGAAATCTTTAACCGATCATTGGATGAGAGAATGTGTAGCTTTTTAATCGTGGGGTTGATTGAAGGTTAAACTATCAACAACTTTACAGTTATGTGATTTGTAATGATGAGGCACATATTTATGGTGAATTCGGTTATTTTGGGGATGGAATCTACTTGATCCCCTTTGTGTAATTCCTTGATACTTTTGATGCATTCGCTGCTTGATTTGTTACCTTTTTCTCGAGTTTGTTGAATTTCATAGGCTCTGCTACAAAAATTTCTGTTCATATGCACAAATGGAGAGTTCAGAATTCTTACAGACTAGTTTTTTAGGGCTGAAAATTTAGCTCTATTGTGATTGGTGATTGCTTTCTCTGCTGTGCAGGAGGTTAATATTGTCGTATAATTCTGGGGATTTAGGGGACCTGCAATAGCCTCTTGAATAATTGCAACTCGTGTTGAACATTGCGATAAAATATTCTAATTCATGAAGTTTCATACCGATGATCTATGAGTACGTTGCAGCTGTTTTGAGAGATTAGTTCTTGTTGTATGGGAAGCTTGTATGACATTCTTGACATTACGGAGAGCTTCATGGCCAGGAAAGCTGCCGCACACAAGAGACATGGCAGCGGTAAGGGTGTCCTTATCAATTTCTTATTTCAGTAGAGGGAATGACAGAACTGAGATATATTGATCCAAATTGTAAATTTGAAAGCTAATTGGTAATCAGGTTCTTCTGATGTACATGATTTTGGTTGACGTAGATGTTTCCTTGAAATGCTTTTGTGTTGAATATTCAGTTTGTTCGTTGATGTGCTATTTCCTTTTTGTCGTTTCAGCTGATCTTGTGTTTCCAAGAGTATCAATTTAATGTTGGCGGGCAAATTAGATAAATCCTCAATTCGATAAATGGCAAAAAGACAGTGACTTACATATGATTTTCTCGAAGCATTCTCAGTGCCTGGAATTAATATCTTTTTTTGTCTGATTCTGGTCAGGCCTGGAGGCTCCTCGTAATAGTTTGGAATTGCCGATGGAAAAGTGCTATGGCTTTTATGCTGCAAGAGATAACATACTGGTACAAACTGTTCCTTTATTTCCAATTTCTGATGTTATAACTATGCAAGCTTTGGCATGCTACCTTTGTGGGTGAATGATGTTTCCATTTCTGCTTATATCTGCTGTTATGGAGTATGATGGAATTTACAAAGCCTTGTACACTTTAGTTTCGTTCGAGTGAACCTGGTTCTCACATGAACTTAGATCCATGTAGCTTTTTGTTTCTTTCGTTCTCGTTGCTACGCATATGCCAGTTGTGTTTCTTATTGTTCAGCTGTTGGCTTCATCCGCAGTTGAAGCCCATACAAGTATGTTAGCTACAAATACGTGTTGATAATCGTCTTCATTTCTTTTGGTTTGCTATATCTATGTATTCAGTATGGTCATCACATTGCAAAGGAATCATCTGCCCCGGATCGTTATTCCATGGAGGTTCCTCTTAAGAAGTTAATCAGTGATGATCTTTCGAAAAGGCCAGATCCCCCACTAAATGCACCAAGTGTCGTGGCACGCCTTATGGGAGTTGATACATTGCCTGTTGATTCTAAATCCACGCAACGGCAGGTTTATGAGAAGACTGATAAAATCCCAACTAGGAAGTCGATGGATAAGCCTGAATCCAAGAAAGATTCGGTTGGTCACACCCGCTCTTTCACAGATTGGTCTCTTCAGTCTGATATTGATTCCTTTGGGCAGTACGATGACATGTATTATCCCAAGCAGTTCAGCAGCCGTACGAAGCCGAGCAAGCCTAAACGTAGAGAACATCCTCAGGAGGAGGAACTGCAGAAATTCAAGAAAGAGTTTGAGGCCTGGCAAGCTGCACGATTCAATGTATGTTCTAACGTGGGGAAATTTGCCTGTGATCCGGCTCAGTTCATCGCACAGGAGGACCTCAACAGAGAAAAGATGTTTCTCAACACCAGGAAAATCGCAAATGAGGAGAGGCCGTGGGAAAATTACGGAGAACTAAGTTCGGTTGAAATGCTTGCATTGGAGAGTTGCAAAAAGAAAGTCTTGTGTAATTCAGCCGAGTGGAAGGAATCTCTGCACGCAAGTAGAGCATCAAGACCCGAGTTTCTGGCCTCGCGTCTTGCAAGTTGTAATGAGAAATTCGATGTTGTATCTGCTCCAACCAAGATTGTGGTATTGAGGCCTGGACCGGACAGGATGCATATTAATGAGGATTCGTATAACAATACTCCTAGTGCTTCTGAAGATCGAGTTGATATTGAAGATTTTCTCAAGGAGGTGAAGGAAAGGCTGAAATCGGAGCTGCAAGGTAAAACATCAAAAAAGAGCACAACAGCTAGAGGAGGAGGGATCGAGACGCCTTACCGAGAAAAGCCATCAGAGCCAAAGAGAATAGCTCAGCGTATTGCACAGGAGGTGCGGGACAGTGTTTCGAGGGATCTTGAGTTGAATTTGCCTCGTTCTGAGTCGACAAGATCATATAGAAGTGAAAGCCACTTAAATGGATCAGATTCTCCTGAGTTCATTAACAGAGATACGAGGAGATACTTGGCGGAGAGGTTGAGGAATGTCCTTAAAGGAGAAACACACGGGGAAGCTCCAACAGTTGTCCGCAACAGGTCCAGATTATCAATGCCTGATCATGATAAGGGTGGAGCTGTTCAATCAAGGGTTGCCTGGTGTGACGGTAGCATAGGCTTTTCCGAAAGTTTTGCAACTGAATTAGAAAAGCAGAGCAGATCTTTCAGAGGGGAACCCGATGAGGCTGGAATGCAGCAAAGGGATCTGTCTCCCAGGAACCTAATCCGATCTTTGTCTGCGCCAGTATCAGGAACATCATTCGGGAAGCTCCTTCTGGAGGATCGACATGTCTTAACAGGGGCACATATCCGGAGGAAGCACGAAGTAATTGAGAAGATCTCAGTGAACATTAAGAAACCAAAAAAGGATAAATTCAACATAAAAGAAAAGGTTTCTAGCTTTAGATACAGTTTGACGCTCAGAGGGAGACTTTTCCGTAGGAGAGTTAAATCAGTCGACGGATTGGATCCAGATAGAAACTACCCCTTCAAAGATTTGGCGACCGGACCGACTGTGATGACGAGTTTCTGCGAAGCAAATGTGAGAACCTTTCTTATATATCTCTTGCTTCTTAAGAGAGGATTATATACTAAGAATTGTGAATTTCAATCTTCTAAATTTCCTCTTCATTGCAGGAGAACTCGACTGAAGTGCCGCCAAGCCCGGCATCAGTTTGCAGTAGCATTCACGAAGAATTCTGGAGGCCGACTGATTACTTGAGCCCGATATCATCGACAGGCGCAAATCATTTGGAGGATAGTGAGATGTCACATGTTTTCAGAGAAATAAACTCCAACTTGATCGGTGAGTTGAATTTTTCTTGTTTTAAGTATTTTGTCGGGCAGTCGAGTTGTTCTTTCATTTACAATCTTTTTGTGTCTTCTTGTGATAATTCAGAGCTAAGAAGGAAGTTGAATCAGTTCGAAAGTTCTGTTCAAGACGAAGCTGTTAGCGAACAGAAGCCTGCTGCTCCCAAAGAAGTAGTTGTCGAGGACGAAGTCGAAGCCTACATCAGAGATCTGCTCATAGCTTCTGGTTTGTACGGCGGCTCATTTATTCGATCAATGACAAAATGGGATCCGCTCGGTAAGCCTATTAGCGCAGAAGCCTTTGAAGAAGTCGAAGCAACATATGGACAAAGTGCGAAAACAGATGAATTCTGTAGTAGGAAAGATCACGAAGATAGAGGCGATCGCAAGATGATTCTTGATTTGCTAAACGAAGTGCTCCCGGCTACGCTTAGGGAACCCGTAAAGACTTCCAAATATCTGGAAAAGGTTATCGGAAGCGTTCATAAGCCCCCCTACGGAAGAATGCTGCTCTCCCGTGTATGGGATATCGCCCGAGAGTACATACACCCTCCCGCGGATCGATCTTGTTACACTCTCGATTACATGTTGGCCCGAGACTTAAAGTCGGAGCCGTGGTCCCAAGTTGTGGATGATGATGTGAGTGGTCTTGGTAGAGACATCGAATGCTGGATCATCGAAGATGTGATCGAAGAAATGGTCGAGGATATGCAAATGTAGCGAAGAACAAAGAAGATGTCCGAAAGAAAAGAGTGTTGTGTTGCGTAGAGTGTGTGTATAGAAGAAAATACTGTCTGTAGAAACTCAAAACAGTCTTTGTATTTATTGTATTTGTGAATTATGAGTGAGTGAGTGAGTGAGTGAAAAACAGAAGAAGAAATTTATGGTTTTTATTGAGTGATGATTCTATTAACACATTACTGATTGATTGATTACTTTCGATCTATGAATTAATATTCTTAATTTTTCAGTTAATTAAATAAAAGATTATTTATTGAATTGTGCTTGTTAATTGATGGCTTGGCTTAACTGTGGGGTGGGTATTTTGTAATATTGACAATTTTTTATTTTATTTTTGAAAATGGACAAACAAAAAGGTAATCCACAATTGGTATTATTTTTAAAAGGTAACTTGGTGACAAACTAACAACAATGCGTTGCCATTTCTGGTTTTTAATTAAAAGTTAATTACATAGAATAACCATTGTTACGGGGCTGAATGAAATTATTCTTTAACTGTTGGGAAAAACCGAGAAATAAATAAAAAGGGGAATTGGAATTCACTGTCAACTGGCCACACACACAGATAACCAACCATTATTGTTCCGTTCCCCTTCTCCTCCCCAACCCCACCGACTCTTCTCGATCCCTTCACAACTGGATTTTCTCGCCGCCGGGAGGGCCGTCGGAGGCGCCGTTTTCCGGATTCGTGATAGGTGTTATTTCCAGAGGAGTGCTGCTCAATTTTGCGTCCAGCACCACACGAATCTCCGGGACTGTATCGATAGAGACATCTCGGGATCTCGCTGAATCGATCGCCGCGCTGGTCATGTAGGATGATTGTAGAGTATTTTCGATCTGTGATTTGATTCATCGATCGGATCAGCCTGTCTCTGCGATTTGTTGTTCGGATTTGCGGAGAATGGCTGGGCAGAGCCCTAATATGGAGCAATTTGAGCTCTATTTTCAGAGAGCGGATGTGGATCGAGACGGTCGGATTAGCGGGAATGAGGCCGTGGCTTTTCTTCAGGCTTCGAATTTGCCCAGACCAGTTCTTGCCCAGGTCTTTTTTAACTATTTTCTCTATTTTATACATGTCGTTTCTTCTTCTTCGTGTCTTGGATTGATTTTGCGTGTAGCAAGGTATTCTACGTTTACGTATTGATAATTTATTTTTCTGTGAGTACTGAACCATTTGTTGTGAGTAGTGGCATCTTGAGATTTTTAAGTAGTAGGCATTCCATTTTCGTTTAGTGGGGTGAGATTTGAGGCATTTCTACATTACCCCGACTTTGAATCTGTATGAGTCTCATCCGTGGTTAGCTAAGCAATCCATTTGAAACATCATTGCTATTGTGATTCAGTTAAATACGTGGTTAATCTTTCATGAGTGAATGGGAGGTAAAGAATACATGTGATGATATTTACATCTTAATGGGAAATCAGAAACGTTTGGTTGTTTTCCTTTGGTGATGAAATTGTCGACTTGTATGGGATCAGATGATTTTTCAAAATTGGGTGGTGACAGGTTAAGCCGAGTACTAGAATCATGCTTCTATGTCAAGAAGGAGACACATTTGCATGTTCCTTGACTTGATTTACCTTTTCTCTGGTCTATGTCAGCATATATATATATATATTTAAAGCTCGATCTAGGTTTCTAGTAAATTACGTTGGTTAGTAGTTATTTTATTTTCTGGAGCAATGGGAGGATGTATGTATTTATGATAATAGCATACCAGAACTACTAGTAGATAGAACTTTTTTAAACCAGGAGGGTGAGACTTCCAGAGATACAGAAGATTTTCAGAATTCAATAAATATCCTTGTGAACTTTTTCATTGTAAGACAATGTGGATAAAATAAACTTCACTGATGTAGAGGGCAAGCTGTGGATTCATAATCTTGGTTTTAAAGAGAGTAGGTACTAGCTTTCATAATCCTGTTGCTAAAATGCGTACAACAGCCATACTGCAATGATTGCTGCTGCTCAACTGCTTTTTTAGTCACCATAAATATTAAACTGGTGTAATGTATGTTGCCTGCATATAATTAGTTCGTGACCCTGGCCACAAACTGATTGATGAAATCCTTGGTATCAAACTCACATATTTGATGTCCTGTGTTAAATAAATGTACATCCGAGGGTTTCTGCCTAGTATGTAAATCTCTGGAATAGAATGGGCCCGAAATAGTTTTCTTCTACAAGAACATAAATGGTAATGAAATTAAGACAAGAATATTAATTGCCTGAGTTCTTTAGAAGTTTCCTTTCTGAGTACAGATGTATGTTTTGTTTTTTTCCTGCAGATATGGACATATGCTGATCAAAATCGAGTTGGTTTCCTTGGTCGTCAAGAATTTTATAATGCTCTTAAACTTGTTACAGTAGCACAAAGTAAGCGAGATTTGACCCCAGAACTTGTTAAGGCTGCCTTATATGGATCAGCTTCAGCCAAAATCCCAGCTCCTCAGATAAATCTCGCAGCCTTACCAGGTCCTCCGTCAAATGTAAGGTCAGTTCCATCTACTGCTCAAATGGTTAGCCCTCATACATCCACTCAAGGTGTGGTTGTGGGTGCCATGCAAGGACCTTTGAATCACCAAAACCAAGCTCCAAGACCATCTCAACCTGCACCCCCTAGTACTGGGTTCCAGACTCAGCTTGGTGTTTCAACTCAAGGAGTGCACGTGCCAGGTTCTGTCCCACCATCAAATAGCCCTGATTCTTTCAATTTTCTTGGTGGGAGTACAAATGGCACCAGAGTTGGAATTTCTTCTCACGTGACCACCAGAAGCTCAAGTCCTGTAGTTCCGGCAGGCCTTGGTTCAATGTCCCCATCTAGTGCTCAGCCTAAAGGACCAGAAGTTACTGGGTCATTGCAAGCTGCTCCATCCAAGCCAAATGATACAACATTTGTGAAATCCCAGAGTGTTAAGGAAGACTTGAAGTCCCTTCCAACTGCGGGCAATGGCATTGCTTCAGACTCGGTATTTGGAGATGTGTTTTCAGTAGCAACACCTCAGCCACAGAAAAGTCCTGCGACATCTACCTATCCTGCAGGCAGCACATCTCCCTTTTCAGCTGGGAATTTGAGTTCTTTGAGAGATCAGCCTGCTGCTGGCAAGACAAGTGTTGTTTCTCAACCACCTACCACTCAGCAGCTCCAGTCAGCTGGGAAAACAAATCAGCATGCTTTGGGGCCAAAGTCCTCTACATTGCCTGCAGGTGGACAATCTCAGTCTCAATGGCCAAGGATGACTGAATCTGATATTAAGAAGTATAACAAGGTTTTTGTGCAAGTTGACACTGACCGAGATGGGAAAATAACAGGTGAACAGGCACGAAACCTGTTCTTGAGTTGGAGACTACCACGAGGTATTCCATGCTCCATTTAGGATTCTGTAATCCTTTTCATGCTTTTTTTTTTTTTTTTTTTTAAAAAAGTATTCTAACTATTACCACTTTTATTTTATTTTTTATTTTGTTCGTTGTGGGTACCTTTTACTTGGATGGATTGAGTTTAAGAGTAATAAACATTACACTTTGAGGTTACTCGTATGCTATCTGTAATGACTTTGGCTTAACAATAAAACCAATGAATTAATAGAATTTTTGTGTAATCTTTTCATGACTCTGCTTTTCTTTATATTGAGAAAGAGGATATTGAAATGAGAAGATGACAATCGGTGTGCTCAACGTTGTTAATTCACTTGATGTTTGCTAAGCTTTTTCAAGATAAATCTATTGTCCTCTTTATTCAGTAATCATTGTCAAAATATAACGTATGGTGCCTCAAGCTCAGAGAATGTCTATGGATGGAATTTATTGACAGCAGTTCTATGCCATTCCCGGCTGTTTTATGGCATTCAGAAACTTCCTGTGCTCCTGATTGCATTTTCGTTGCATTTGTTTTATTAGAGGTCTTGAAGAAGGTATGGGACTTATCTGATCAAGATAATGACAGTATGTTATCTTTGAGGGAATTTTGCATCGCTCTCTATTTGATGGAGAGGTATAGAGAAGGGCGTCCTCTTCCAGCAACTCTCCCATCTTCTGTTATATTTGATGAAACATCATTCCCTGCCTCCACTCAACTTGCTTCCGCACATGGCAATGTGTCATGGAGACCTACTACAGGTCCATATTTGTTGTCTCAACTTACTATCTTTGTGTCATTTCAAATTGCAGCCATTTTCAATATATCTGTCTTTCTATAGGTTTCCAACAAACCCAAGGGACTTCAAATATACGACCTATCACTTCTGCTGTTGGAGGCAAGCCACCACGACCAGTTCCTGTCCCTGTTCCCCAGCCTGATGAGCCCATCCAGCAAAGTGCCAAAGTTCCAGTGTTGGAGAAACATCTTTTGGACCAGCTTAGCACAGAAGAGCAAGATTTACTGAACAAAAAACTAGAAGAGGCAAAGGATGCAGAGAAAAAGGTGATTCCCCTTTTTGCCACTTGTTCATGTCTTCTCTCTTGTTTTGTCTGTTGTAGCTCAGTCACTTATGGATATATTTTCTCACACTGTAGACATTTAGGAACTCATATAGAATATTTAAATTATATGGTAAGGTTGTGCAACTGCAATTGATTACATCTCAACATTTTTTTCTGGAGTTATTGTTTGCTTGTCTGGCTGTGATTTACTTTTAGCTACATACTTAATTGAAATATTTTCCAAGTCAAGCTTCAACCTTGCTACTTCAAGAATTGGAAAATAACATACGTACAAAAGGACAAACGGGCTACCAAACAGAGAATATGATTCTTCTTGTGAAGACTAATCTGTAGATGTTGGTCTCTTTATCTTTATCTGCAGCTATTGTTAAAACCTATCATTCTAACACTTTCTTCTATACATGACCAGAACATCCATTGAAGTTCTATAATATGTTGATTGAACATTGATGGCATTGTGATATTTCGCTTGAATTTCTACTTTATACCGGCTTGTATATTTTTCTGAATATCAACTTCCTATCAGAGTGCACATGCTTGAACGTGTGCTCAATGTTCTTGCAGTGCCCAAATCATATAGTAATGCTGTTTTGTTTTGATATAAAAGTTAGTAGACCACTTCACTCGGTTTATCATAAATATGGTGTATTTGATAATCCATCAAGCAGTTGGTTTGGGAGTTCTAAAGTTTCTTGCATTTGATTTAACTCAAATTTGTACCTTCTGGAATTCCATTGAGGATTTTTTTTTTTTTTTTTGTTAAAGTTACTGAAAACCACAAGTTTGTGAAAATTTGACTTGTTATGAATCACTGGTTAGTTAAATGGCAGGGGTAGGGGTGTCTCTGCGATTTATGTGATTCCTTTCGTCTCAGTCGGAAGCAATAAAGTGTCACCGGGGAATGTATACAAATCATTATTGTTATTATAATGGCCGAATTATCATTGCCCCCTTCTTTCTTCTATTTTAATTCGACTAATTTTAGAAATAATGAACCTGATAAACATGTTTATATGTAGGCATTTAATTTTGTAAGTTATAAATATGTAAATGTTATGATTATATACAATTCAAGTTTTTTCCAAGACTATAGGATGATGATTGGTTTTGGCGCATGTGTATTCTAATTGTATTTGAAATGAAAAGTAAGTAATGATTGGGTTATGGCCGAATTTTGACTGTGCATAAATATAAAAGAGAGAAGTATATCTAAGAAGCTGTATTTTGTTCGCATTGGAAGGGTATAACATAATTTAAAGGTCCTTTAATTTGGTGTTGTCCTTGGTAAGTTCACATTTCCCTTTGAGTTCCGTTTAGGCCTCTAGGGCAACGCTAGCTTAAACCAAGGGGCAGGGAAATTCAGATTATTTCTTTCATCTAAGGAATTGATATATATTTTGTGCTTATCTTTTTCTTTGTAGGTGGCAGATCTTGAAAAGGAGATTTCAGAAGCTAGACAGAAAATTCAATTCTACCATGCCAAGATGCAAGAACTTGTGAGTTTATTGTTTACTAAAATGTGACTATGAAGTGTGTTGTGAATTGAATTCCTGTGTGGATCTTTCATTTATTGGATGAGGCACATGTTACTCTGCATAGAAAATCTATAGATGTAACTCTTGCATGTTCCAGTTGGTATGTCTTCATCCTCAAGTATTCTGTCAATTGAGGACAGCTTTTCATATTATGTCTTCTAATTTGAAAAAGTGTAATTAATGTCATATTGGCAGTTTGTTCTCAGTTCACTTTCTCATATTTTGCTGTCACAAATAAAAGCTTCTCAAATGCATTCCTAATTCAAACATTCCATCCCAGATACTATACAAAAGCCGATGTGATAATCGACTGAATGAGATATCTGAAAGAGTTGTAGCAGACAAAAGGGAGGTAAGCTCTTGAAGATGATTCTACTTATGTCAGTGTTAATCCATCTTTTGACTCCCTTGGCTTTTTTTTCAGGTTGATTCATTTGCAAAGAAATATGAAGAGAAATACAAGCGGACTGGAGATGTAGCATCCAAGTTAACACTTGAAGAGGCCACATTTCGTGATATTCAGGTATTTTATCATAGGTATTTTATCATTTTCTTTCTAGGTGGAAGTGCAGACCATGGTGTTCTGATTGAGATTTGTAACCATAGATGTGTTCTTGCATGTAAAATTTATTGAAGCTTGATTCTTAAATCATTTTGGTTGTAGGAGAAAAAAATGGAACTGTATAGAACAATTGTTAAATTGGACCAAGAGAATGCTGATGGTGTTAAGGTATGTCTTATTTCCATCTGATTTAGACATTGAGTTATGTATTACCTCCTAGTGATTATTGGAGGTCCGAGAGAAACTTCCATGAAACATTTGGTGTCCACCAGGATCAGGCTAATCAAATCCAGTCAGATCTTGATGAACTGGTGAAAACCTTGAATGAACGGTGCAAAACTTATGGATTACGGGGGAAACCAACTACTCTTGTTGAGCTTCCATTTGGTATATTTCATTTTATAGCATGTGCCCATGCCTTATATTTTATTTATTTATTTTTTTCGTACATATTCTGCAGCATTTAAGTGCTGAACCATGGATATCTTTTATTTTTTAAGTGTGCCAGGTTAATGGTTGGAATTGTCGTTAAGATTTAATTTACTTGGTATTTATTTATGATGTAATATATATATATAACTAAAATAAATTTAAAATATGTAATTAAGTGTGTTAAATGTTATATTTCAATAAAATATATTTAATATGGATATCATTTATATAAATAAAATTTTATGTAATACAAAACATAAAAGATACATTATTACATTCTTAGTATAAGTTAATTCTATAGAAAGACGAGAAAGTTGGAATGTATATAAAAATATATTTGTTTATTGAGGAGATAGATAGAAATGAAAGATTAGGTCCTAGCAAATGAAATTGTTGGGAAAAAATTCAGGAGCATATTGCGGGAAGTAAACAGGAGGCAAACCAAACACACGTGTACTTGTTAATGAATCTTTATCTTTGAGCCGATGAAATATCTGTTTTCTACTGTATTGATTTCTTCTTTGTGCAACTTGCTCTGCATCTGTTCTCACTTCCTGACTCATGTAGAATTGTGTTTATGTATCTCGCATATATTTTTACGTTAAACTCTGTTTACCTTGAGGAGATAATGATGCTTGGTTCGTAAAATTATTGTTTAAAGAAAACAGTACTTGTTTTCTTAGATTAGTTGTGATGATAGGGTTAAATCTTAGCTTTTATAATCAGCAATTAATAATATATGCTAACATTTCATTTGACTTCACTGTTCTGTGCTATGAGATGCATAGTATAGTTGGATATCTGTATATTTATGACACAACCAGATTTTCTTTAAGTGGTTACTTGTTCACTGTGTTCAAGGGATAATTATCTTATATAAAAGCTCTGTGGCTTTTATATAAGGAAATGAACTAATGCTTATACAAAATTATTGAGATGGCAGAGCTCATCATTCTTCATGAGTATTTTTTTTTTTTTTTTATCAATAACCATTTAATGATTATCCTCTTCTCAAAATCTCCAGGTTGGCAACCTGGCATTGCAGCAGCAGCTGCTGATTGGGATGAAACTTGGGATAAGTTGGAAGAGGAAGGTAGTCTAAAAACTACAGCTATTGATTTCAATAATATATATACATCATTTCAGAGAAATCTCCCTATGTGCGCTAATTCCTACTTGAACTGTAATTAATTTCAGGATTCACCTTTGTTAAAGAACTTACCCTGGAAGTGCAAAATGTTGTTGCTCCTCCAAAGCCCAAGTCGGGTGTAATTAGAGAAAAATTGCCTTCATTGGATAACAGGGATACTGTCAAAAAACCTTCTAATGCTGATGACGAGACAGGCATTCCAAATTCTGAGACAGAAGCTGAGATTGAGAAACCAAATGCCCACAACATGGAGCAGACATCAAGAACTCCCCCAGACAGTCCTGCAGGCAGTAATGCTGTTGTGAGTCCATCTAAGGCAGTATATGACCTGCGAAAATCAGATAACTTCAGTTTGAATGGTTCGCCTCGGGCGTTCACATTTGACACCCAGAGGTAATTACTATTTTAAGTGCTCTTATTTTGTCTGACCTGTTCTATTTTGTTTGCAATAGTGTTTGGCGCCCAGAGGTAATGGTATTTGTTGGTATTTACCTTCTCTGACCGGTTTTTGATGTTCTAATATTCTACCAAAGTAAATATCACAACTCCCATTTGCATGACTACTCAATCTTCTAAAGAAATTGATATCTAACTGCAGTGAATATGGTGGTGAATCTGTACTTTCTATGGATAGAGGTTTCGATGACCCAACTTGGGGTTCCTTTGATATACATTATGACTCTGATGCAGCCTGGGATTCCAACCCATCCAACTCAAAGGTATGCGGCAACTCTTAATTTCCAGTATTTCGTCCAGATGTTGTTTGTTTAAATTCCTGCCTCATGTTTTTTTTTTGTCACTTTGCCTTGTAAACCAGGAATCTGAGGTTGACAAACATGGCGAAGGCTTTATATTTAGTGGTGATGACTGGGGTCTAAACCCGATAAGAATTGGACCCAAAAGCACGGACACCACCCTTCCTAAGCAGGGCCCATTTTTTGATTCAGTCCCAAGCACCCCCATGTCCTATGCCGGAAACTCTCCTCATGCAGACAACCTCTTTGCAAGGAGTGGTCCATTTGGATTTGCAGACTCCGTCCCAAGTACCCCTATGTACAACTCAACTCCCTCTTCGAGAAGGGTTGGTGGAGATTCTGAGGAGCATAGTGCATATGACAGCTTTTCAAGATTTGATTCCTTCAACATGCACGATAGTGGCCCTTTTAGTTCGCGTGATTCTTTAGGAAGATTCGACTCCTTCAACATGAATGACAGCGGGCCTGTGGCTTCACGCGAGACATTCTCAAGATTTGACTCCATAAGAAGCTCTAGAGATTCCGACTATGATCAGGGATACTTTGCTCCAAGGGATTCCCTCACCAGGTTTGACTCCTTCCGTAGCACGGCGGACTCTGATTATAATTTTGGACAATTTCCTCCAGGCCCGACATTGTCTAGATTTGATTCCATGCGGAGCACCAAAGAGTCCGATTTCAGCCACAGCTTCTCATCATTTGATGATACAGCGGCAGATCCTTTTGGTTCAAGTGGGCCGTTTAAGTCGTCTTCTTCGTTTTATGATGCTCAAACTCCGCGGAAAGATGATACAAGTGACCTGTTCGGATCAAGTGACCCATTCAAGACGACGACATCTACATCATCATCCTTCAAAGCTGAAACTCCACAGAGGAGTGATTATGATAGCTGGAGAGCTTTCTAATGTTTTTGTGTGTTTCATTGTTCTGTGTTTGTTTGGGAGTGCTGGTTCCAACTCTTTCCATTTGAAGGAATCTTTGCCGTCTGTGTGGGGTTTGCTCTCTCTCTCTCTCTCTCTCTATATATATATATATATCTAGTTGAGGCAATTTGGTTCTTAATTTGATTGGATACAGAATGTGAGATTATCAATTTTTGCTGTATTTTTATGTGATCTTGACCTTATTATTCTAAAACAGACACAGTCAGTCTTATGTTCATATTAAATATGTGTTGTAATTTTTTATTTTTATTTTTTGAATACCAAACGATTAGATTTGATAGGGAGGGAAGGAGAGAGAGAGGTAGTGTGCCGCCAGTTTTTTCCTTGGGGACAAAATTAATTATCATCGAGGTACGAGTTTTACATTAAAAAGGGAAGCTGATGGTGGGAATTAATTTGTCCACTTTACTTTGATGAGACTTGTCAGGAAGACCGGTCACAACTCTCTGAGGGCCCGAGAGCCGGGGTGAAATAAAATTTAAACACCCCATATATATATATATAATATTTTTATCTATAATAAAATATCAGTAATAAAAATAATTTATTTAGTATTATTTTATGAAAACAATATCAATAATAATAATAATAATTTTATCTATAATAGAATATAAATAATTAAATAAAATATATATTTTTAAAGCAAAAAAAAAAAAATAAAAATAAAAAAAATTAAAGATTCCTAAATATTTTAAATCATATACTTTTTTTTTTAATCTATAATAGAATATAAATAATTAAATAAAATATATATTTCTAATATTTTTATATAAAATATCAATAATAGTATTAATATTAATTTTGTCTAAATAATTTTACAACAAAAATTATGGGCCTCTAAATATGTATAAATGATATATTTTATTATCTATGATAAAATCTAAATGATTAAATGAAATAATTTTTCTAGCATTTTTATATGCAAAATATCAATAATAGTATTAATATTCATTTTGTCTAAATAATTTTACAATAAAAATTAGAACCCCTAAATATGTATGAATGATATACTCAGTCCGTTCCAAAATATCAATAATAATATTAATATTCATTTTGTGTTGTTTTTAATGCACAAGAAAATAATTTAAAGATATAGTATATGTAACACGTAACTAACAAAAACACATTCTTGTATATTTTTATTAAAATCAAATAATTTGTATATAGAAATTTTATATATAACATAAATACATCATGGACACCTATTCAGATTAGGCCCTGGGCGGACGCCTTTCGCCCGGGTCCGCCCTGAAACTTGTTAACAAGTGAATTTTAATTAATAATACTAATATTTTGGCTGATTTATTTATGACGTTGGTTGTGTATTAATTGAAATATTAATATTAATTGAAAGACGGTTGGTATCCTCCTGACCTTATGTAAATTTTAGGACCATCCTGAACTCATCGTATCCGTCGATCAAAATTCATCTTGATCCAATGGTTTTTACTCAGTGAGGGTACTTTTGGAATTTTGAAAAGATGTAATTAAATGTCAATTAATTAAGAAAAAATTAAATATGTTAACTAATTACGTTATAAATGGAAACATTAACTTACATAAATTAGAAATATATGCAATTAAGTTCTTTCCAAATAAAAAAACATTCGAAAAACATAATGATGTATATATTTCACACATGCTGTCATAGTATCACTAGCATGATATCTAAGGTAAAATAGATATAATATATACTATCTTATTTTGATGTTTACAAATTCGTAATATGATGCAATATTTTTAACAAGTGAAATATTCATTATATTGAGTAAGTTTGACTTCTGATTTTTAAAAATTCCAAACCTACTCACGAATCAAATTTAACCTCAATCAACCGAATTATTTTTGGAAATTATCATCATAATCTAGCATTAATATTTTTATGTATTAATTTCAGAATATTCCTTAATTAAAAGTTTTTCCATAATTAACAATATACAATTATTTAGTAAATAACCCCCCATTCTCCAAAAATTTACCTAGCTCTAACCCTCATGCGAATCACTTCCGTCACGAATCTCCCAGCCACGCCGCCGCCGTCTTCCCCTCCTACCGTCAACCACACACCATCGTTGTTGTTCATCTTCCATCGTCCACCAAAATAACCCGAGCCCTAATCTCATCGGATCGGAAACCCTTATTCGCGATTTTCAACCACCCTGTCGTAGTCGTTTCAGTCCCGATTTTATTCTATATGATTATCCGATGTTAAAATAATGGATAAAATAATTGTATTTGGTTTGATTTAATGGGCGTATCAACTCTCCAGTTTGTTTGGATATTATCTCATGTAAGTGAAAATAAGATAAAATTATAAATGTCAACACTTCTAAATTTTAATATGATGTGGTGCCTGTTACCCAATATAATAAAATCAATTTAGATTTTGATTTCTGAAACCACCGATTAATCGTGATTTTAAATTTTTAGGTAATAGTTTACGGATAAAAATTGTAATGATGTATAGTACTATCAAGTATGATGTCATCATATTACTAATATTATGTTTTACAAGAAACTAGACTCAAGGTATAATTTATTCAGTGATGTTCAATAAATCGCAATATGATGCAATCTTTTCTACATGTGAAATATTCATTTTTTAAGTAAGTTGACTTTTTTGCTTCCTAATATACATTTGTGCATCAAATATAAATAAATTAATGGAATTATTTTGAAAATTATTAATCACACTATTTCGTGAAATATGGCATTTATTTTTCAGACAATATTTACGTAATATTTATTCTCACACACAATAAATATTATTTACGATACTTGTTTCAGTTTACTAGAAGATGGTACACTTTGGTCAAAATAACATTATTTACGATACTTGTTAAAATATATTTCGAAGCAATATATTATATTTATGGTAGTTATCTTATTTAAAAGATTCGTAGGATTCTTGTCTTATTTAGACGATTTGTATATCACTATAAATATGTACATATTCTTATGATGAAATAGAGAATTCCCGTTTCATATTCTAACAATACTTTTTTGTAACTACTGCCATTTAATATTGTTTTTTTTTGAATTTAAATTGAATAATTAAAAAATAAACAAAATAAAATTGAAAATTAAAAATTAAAATTTTTTAAAAATGATTAAAACGCTTTCACCCTTTCAAAAAAAAAAAAATAAAATAAAAAAAATGAGGACTTGTGTTTTTTACAACAAGTATAAGCTCCTTCCTTAAGAATTTAGGGCACATCATTCCCCCTTAATCGAGCGATCGTGTTCTCTTTCTCCTTGCGCCGACACAACCATCACCGTAAAACTGGTGCGATCAAGCATCTACTGCAACGCCGGCGTCCAGGTAAGGTTTTTAAATTTTCCCTAGTATGATTCGGTGTCGATCCATGGTTCTTCGTCTCTTCGTTTGAACGGGGAAATCGATTTGGGCAATATTAATATTCAATTTCTTCCTCAGGTTGATACGGAGCATCCGCCTTTGGGAGTAGCATCGGGTACTACAGTACAATTATTTCTTCATTGTTAAGGTTTGTATGTGGGGCAAGCTATTGAGCCAAATTTCATAATTTCTTATTGGGTAAACATCGTTCCTTCATGATATCTTGTGAAACCCTCAGATTTCAAAACTGCTTAAAGCGATTTGAACTATATCTAATTAGTACGAGTGTTCATATTTGAAATCTACACAACGGGCTGCCCCCTAATTTCCAATTTATTTATTTATTTTTTCTAAACTTTAGTTGGGACTATTATTAAAATTATTCTTTCTAATGGTTTTATCAATTTGTCTTATACAAGAACTGTAGACGATACTATGAGATTAAGAAAATTTTTGCAATATTTTTCTTTACATAGGTTATTCTACATTTGTGTAAGTATAGTATACAGTGTAAGAATGATTGAATCATTGGCTTTTACTTGAGAGATGCTCAATTGAAGAAATATGTAGCATATGAAATTGATGTGAAGATTCATAACAACTATCAGAAAAGTATTGAATTGTCTCAGAAAAATTGTCTCGAAATCTATATAGTTACGAGACAATTAATTAAATAATCTTGGAAATTGTCTCGAAATTTTTTCCGTGGTCGTTTGATCGTGACAATTTGGAAAGTCATGGAATAACGAGACAAATAGTCTCATGAGGTTATTTGAGAGAATTTTGTGACAATATATTGTCTCGAAAATACTCGCGAACTTCGTTACTATATTTTGTCTCAAACGGCCGTGATAATTTCTAAAACTATATTTTGTCTCAAATATTTGTGATAACTTTTGGAACTATTTTTTGTCTTGAATTTTTTAGAGTATATTTCGTCTCGAATGACCGTGATAATTTTTTAGACTTTATTTTATCTTAAATGTTTGTGATAATTTTCGAGACTACATGTTGTCCAAAGCTATAATTTGTATCGAACAATCGTGACAATATATGAATAAATATACTATATTATATCTCAAAATAATTATAGCAATATCCGAGATTATACTTGCACAATTTAATGCCAAAATAAATTAATTATTTTGGTTAGTTTATTCCTCATGATATTTCCACCAAAATTAGTGCATATCAATATTATAAATATTGTCTCAAATTATCATACCGTGCTTCACATAAGCAAATCATAATCAAATTATAATCTTCATGTCAATAAATAGAAAACATAAAATAATATAACAAATAAAATTTGTAATAAATAAAATTAAAAATCATTACTCCCCATCCGATTCAGAGTCTTTTGTTGTCTCATCGTCATCCCCTTCTCCATCCTAATTATTATAATCGACTATTTATCTCGAAAATAAGAACTTTGAAGCACTACTTTAGCCGTTTTTCCATGTGATCTTAGCCCTGACCTTTTACAATAAATCCCCATATGCATGATCGAAGATTCTTGGAGAGATTTAAAAATATCTTTTAAAATACAAAAAAATGATATATGTATAAAAGGAAAATAGTGTCGTGCGTGTTAGTGTAGTAACTCCAAAAACTTCGTCAAAAATAAAAAATCTCTTTAACCGGTGATGTCCGGGTTGAACTCAAGGAATATGCGAATATCCTATATTTAATTAAAAAAATTTGCAATGAGTTAATGCAATCGAAGAAACTGAAAAGAGAAATTGCAGAAATTAAATCTAACTAAAAAAACAATAAAATATACGTATCTCGAAAAGGATAAAGCAAGACGTTTGTGTCTGACTTTTGCGTTCCTTAATGACTAGATTTCCATGGATGAAATGAGCG